TGTTTTGACTTCCTGAATAATTTAATAGGTTCAGAACAATCAAATTATTCAAACGGGCCACAGTCGTTCATATGTTGGAAGTAGATATGAATGAAAACTGTCGTGAATTGGTGTGTGGATTGTCTAAAGTCTATTAGACATAAGAAAATGTTTGTTGCAACGTTCATGAGTGCTTATGAATATGATTTAAGCATTGGATTAAACCTATGCTCACTTAGATCACTTCATGGATTTTATCACGAGTGATTGGTGAGACGATAACATCTTATATTCTTGAAACCGAGATGTGTGAGTTGTATCTTGCAAGTCGGTTGCACATTGATAATATGTAAACGCACCAGTAACTTGGTGTTATAAAACATATTGTTGTGTGTGATTTGGTGAGTGAGTGCAAGCGAGCATTGAGTCAAAGTTTATCCGTTCCTTTTATCCATAGTAGGATAAAAGCGATATATGTGGGCCCCTCGATGATTTAGTGATGACACAGTGCCTGGCCAAGCTAGGACTAAATTGATGTGTTCAATTGTAGTCTATTGTCAGTCGTCATAAATCTGAATTCGGGAAACAACACATAGACAGAGAGAATGATTTAGATCCATATATTTCTCAGTCTATACGATATCTAGAATGGAGGAATATATGATCCCTTATCTAAAGGACACGCTTATCTGATAAGATCAGAGTTGACAGCGGCTTTAGAAAGCTACGATTGTAGATCAGGATCTGAACTTATACGCGGAATAGTTATTAGACTTATCCAAGTGGGAGACTGTTGGATTAGTGTCTAAGTCCATAACTATTTTGGTATGCACTTAAGCCGATGGTGAATGGTCCTTTTGGGTTGCCTTCACCAAAGCAACTTGATAGGATGAATTATGGAGAGAAAGGATTAAATATGATTTATTAATATATTATGAGAATAATATATTAAAGGAGAAATCACATTGTTTAATTAATATTAGTCAAGAATTAATAAGAATTAAGTTTGTGGCTAAAAGAGATTAATTAAACTTAAGGGACTGGAATTGTAATTATAAGATAATTGCAATTGGGCTATGGATTACCTTATATTATAAGGTTGAACGAATTCTATAGGGAGACCCATTAGAAATCATCCAAGGCCTTTAAGAAAGGAACCCATGGGTTGCTAGGGCTTAAGCAGTCAGATTAGGGTTTCCTAGTTTAAAACCCTAATAGCCTACATGTATAAATAGCACCCTTAAGCCCCAAAAACGTGGTGATGAGATCCTCTAGGGTTTTGGACGATTTTGGGTAGCCTCCTCTCTCCTTATTCTTCATCCTCTTGCTCTTGGTGTTTGTGAACCATTAGAGGAGTGACATTTGTGACTCTAAGCTTTCTAAAGTCAATACAAGGAGAATTTGAGATTGTTATTGCTACATAACAATGAAAGTAATATCTTAAACCCATTATTATGTTAATATAGATTATCATATGCTAAGATTAGGGTTTATAGTCTTGGATGAATTGCATGTACAATAGAGAAACCTAGATCCAAGCATTAGGGTTTGTATGAGCACATAGGATGTTCTTATGGATAAAACCCATCAGTATCTGGGTCGAGTGTTATATAATATTTTGTTATATATCAGAGTGCTCCTGCACGAATGCTGCTTGCTTTGTGATTTGTGGAACTCTTGAGTGATGAGGGTCAGCTACTAAGTGTATATGATGATATCCAGGAGGTGGATGGCTGGCAACATGGGGAGTTCTTCAGCAGCTGATGGCAGGGCGAGGTTGGGAACCTAGGGAGATCCTAGGAGTTGCTTTGGTGGGTATTGTGTTGCTATTTAGCGGATATTTGGTGCACCAATATACTAGGTGACTTAGATGATTATAAGGATTGCTGAGGAAAGTATGGATAGGTGTGGAAGGTAGTGTGGGCCCATACTATTGAAAGCACATGATCCATGCTTGAATCGGTGGGAGTCTTGGACAATCTAAGAAGCTTATGGGAAAGAGAGTTTTTAGTTACACTCTAATAGTAAGGATAACTGCTTTGCCAGACAGGGATGAGCACACATGAGGAAGGACCAGGGTTTGGTCCTGGCTCTGGTGGTGAGCCACTTAGTGGAAGGACTACCAAGGTGAGATATCCTGAATGATATGATTTCTAGAGCTCGAGAGCATGGATTAATTTGGAGCACATTTGGAAGAAGGGACTAGATCGGGTGCCTATATTGGAGGGTCACGAAAAGAGACACAAGAGTTCGGGTCATCTTTTGAGAGGCCAGCAGGGCCGGATTCAGTATAGTACTTGCGGGAAACTACATGAGGGAGTTTTTCATTTAAAGGGTTTTAGTAAGTGTATCTCTGGTTTTGTTTCCCTGCTTGTGTTTGTGTTATACCTTCAAACATTATCATATGTCATTTACATACCGTGATTTACGGGATGGTTACCAAAAACTCGTTTCCCTCTTTTCTGGTTTGGAGCGTTCAATTTTATCTGAGTCTATGGTCGAGATTCATTTAGAGATGCGATGTGAAAGGTCTACAGTCATGATTGGTGTCTCATCCATTGTTCTTGGGTCGGATTTGGAAGCGCCAAGGGAAGTGGTCTACTGTTGAGGCTTTGGTCTGGGCATTGGTTACTTGGAGTCCAAGATATAATTGTAGCATCATTTCAAGGCGTCTGAAATTATTAGTTTCCTTAGGATTCAAGAAGTGTCCGTATGATCTTTAGGAGTTGTGTGGTCTTTTGGGGGTTTGGGCCAGTAATGGCACTCTAGCACGGGTAAGTAGCAGGTTGACAACAGTATGGGTATTAAAGAGTAAAAAGGATTAGGCATCCTTCAAATCTCATGTAATGTGAAGACTTAGTTGAGTTTAAATGGGGGATAATCGCGCAAGTATTTATGACAAGGGTAGGTATGAGACCGGGATGAGTTTCTCATCCTCATCAAGGAAAATGGCGGCCTAAGTGGCTATTTGGTTTGAGGGTTGTGTGAGTTTGGAGTTTGTTAAAACTCCCCAATGTGTGATTCACGTCTTCTTGGGGCTTGATAGCAGAATTTGAGAAAGCAAGATGGGGTTCCATTCATGAATTGAGTTCAGTTTGGGCGTTCAGTCGAATGCGTGCTCGGCTCTATATGCATTTCGAATCGATAGATTAGAGGTAAGGCATTGGGTTGCGTTGTGTTAGGATAAAAGTGTTGTAAGACTACGGGGGAGTTGTATCATTCACTAATGGTCAGTTAGGATGAAAGTGTTGTAAGACTACGGGGGAGTCGTAGCATTCACTAATGGTTAGTTGGAGTGAAAGTGTGCTAAGACTATGTGGGAGCCATAGTATTCACTAATGGCCAGTTAGGATGAAAGTGTTGTAAGACTATGGGGAAGTTGTAGCATTCATTCATGGTCAGTAGGGAGAAAGTTATGTAAGATAACGGGAGAGCCGTAGCATTCACTAGTAGTGAGATAGTGTAGAAAGTGTTGTAATACTACGGGGGAGTCGTAGCATTCACAAGCGGCTAGATAGGGTGGGAGGTGTTGAAAGATGGCATGATAATCGTGGCATTCATGGACTGGTTCAGATGATTTAGGCACGGGTGGGCCAGTTCGCGAGGTTTTGAGTAGGACACAACATAATTGAATCAGGTAACGATATGTCGAAGAAGATCGGGTATGATGTAAGACTACAGTTATTCTGGTAGCATTCACCATTTGCGTCAGATTCAGTGATGACAAGTTGCCAGCCTATCATAATCAGATGGATCAAAGGATTGAAGGATCCATGAGTAGTGGTATAGATAGGGCAGTCACTCTCATACGAGGTATCCTTCGAAGGTCACGTGGGACTGTTGTGCGTGCGATGTTAGCTAAGCAATGGGGTAAGTGTCTGGTGTTTCGAACAATTGGCAGACAAGTAGGGACCATGGAGGTCCCGGTTACTCTTCGGGAAAGCAACTATGTGGCAGTAAGATGAGCTGGAGTGATTTCAGTAACTTGGGATCCGTGTGTGGAGTTGCTTATCATTCGGGGCATACACTAAGTTGTTTGAAGTTGGATTAAATAATCTTAGAGTGGTTGATCTGACCCTGTTGTGTAGCTCTCGTATGAGTCTAACCGTTGCAGGGGTAGGTCTCCTACTCGATGTATTCTCTAAGCCTACTAACGAGTATAATGATCTGCAGGGATAGTTGGTCAATGATTCTGTTCCTAATAGGAGATCCCTAATATCAGAAGTTGATTAGTCAGTTGGGACATTTAAGGGATGGATTCAGCATGGGTTCAGTATGGGCGTCTGTCTGGGAGACAGACCATCTCGAGACTTTAGGTCTCAGATTGAGTAAATGGAATTATGTTGCAAGGAATTTGTTTCATCTTCGGGTTATAGAACCCTGCGGGGTTGGTCTTGGTTGCCTTGGAAAGGTTGGGTATGCTTGTAGTTGTAGTCGTGTTGCTCAAGTTACTTGGCTTGTCAGGATTAGCAAGGAACGATTTTGAGGACGAAATCTAATTTAAGTGGGGGAGAGTTGTAACATTCTGTTTAAAATTAATCACAAAAATAATAAAAAAAACCGGGCGCCAAGATGTAAATTTATAATTTATATTAATTTATATTGGCCCTAAAACCAATAATATTTAGCGGATAGTTGGTTTCGGGGAGCCAAATAATATATTTTAGACTTTCGGGGGGTCAAAGGGTAATTTCAGGATGTATTTTGTAAAGATTTTTAGAAGTTAGGGTGTGTTTGGTAAGTATTGGACTTAATTTGAAGAGATTTTGGAGGCTTAGGGGTTGTTTAGTAACTTTTGGGCATAAAATGAATAGAATTGTGGGAACAGGGGTAGGAAAAGTAAATGATGGGCCGTGGTTTGGAAAGATGTTTATGGGGAGGGACCATTTCTGCCATTATGGAAATATGTTTCATGGTGTTGGGTATATATAAACCTTATGAAAGCCTAACCTTAGGAAGGATAATAGTTGCCAGCCACTCCACCCTTCTTCTCCTCCGGCTGCCACCACCACCACCCCCCTTCACTCCCGTTTCCGATTAGCATGCGATGACAGCGACACTAGACTTTCATCATGTTTGCTGTCGGCGAGGGAGAGTTCAACGAGTTGGAGATTTTGGGAACGGGGTTGTGAAGAGTTGAACGAGCAAAGCTGCTGTCGCCGCTGCCAGTCGAGTCCGAGCAACGCCGCTATGACTTCGCTGCTGCAGAAGTCATGAACAGCCGAGGATGCAACATTGTACACCAAGGATAAGTTGTTCTTCTCGGATCTTCGGTGCTTCACGTAGTCACGACCGCTGCCTGTTGCTCCGGTCAATATCTACCACTCTGAGGGTGGTTGTAGCGTGCTTTCTAGCTTTTATATCGCAAGTTTTTGCGTATTCAAGTGTGGTTGCTCGTTGTGTGGATGCATCTCGGCTGGGAAAATCAAGACAAGGCATCACCACCGTCGTGAGGTGCCAGTTGCCACCTCCTGCCCCATCAACTACCATGTTAGGTGGTTATATATATATATATATATATATATATATATATATATATATATATATATGTGTGTGTGTGTGTGTGTGTGTGTGTGTGCGCGCGCGCATGAGTTTTGTGTAAGTATTCCACTGTGTGCATGTTTTGGTTTGTGTATGAGTGTTTTGATGAGTGTGATATTGTATGTAATCGTTTTTTTCCGGAAATTCGAGAATAACCACTACTACCACCGTGAGGTGGTGGCTATCACCCTCTACCACCACCAGCCACTATAAGGGTGGCAATATTTGTGTGTTTATCTATTCTGTGTGTACTAATTTTGGGATTCGGTCTTGTATATTGTAATTGGGATGAAATAATGAAAAGAAAACTCAATTGGACTAGAACCCTAACCACCACCGTGATTAGGGTTTGCTTTGCATGTGTTTGGATTACTTTTGGGATGCTTGGACTCGATTGGACTAGAACCCTAACCACCACCGTGAGGTGGTGGCCTCCGCCATGAGCCGCCATTGACAACCATTACCCGAGGTGGTCGTGGGTGGTACCCGACTTAGGAAGACCCTAATTGTCCTAATGAAACCCTAATCGACCTAAGGACTTGGATTTTGAGTCTAATTGGATTGTGATGGGTCAGAAACCCTAATTAGGGTTTAGAAACCCTAATTTTGGAATTATTGGTTTGGACTTATCGAGACCCGCATTTTGGACCATTAGAGTCAAGTTATGACTCAAATGTTCCAATACCCATGACTGTTGCTTCACTTTTGTCACCAGAAACCACAATCAGACCATGTTTCTCCATAAACCTTGTTAAATGGAACTTGAGACCCATCATATGAATAGAATACCCAGTATCAAGGAGCCAAGTATGTTTTAGATCCTAACTTGATTCTTCGACAGCTTGAGATATATCAGTGCTACACTTGCCTGAGACACTATTAGAGGTATCTTTTATGAGAGCCATAAAACCCTTATCATTTATCCCTTTATCTTCAAATGTTTCCTTTTCTTCCACATATTTCTCAGATTCATCTTGCTTTGCAATGAAGGCTTTTGGCGAAGAGATATTTTCCTTCTTCATGTAGGCGAGCAAATTCTTGCATAAGACTTCATAATTCTCTAGGTTCTGAGCTTCTTTTTCTTGTTACAGTCCCTGGCAAAATAATTAGGGCTTCCACATTTAAAACAATTACTTGAGTTTGTTTTCTCTGAGTTAAACCTTCTCGCTGATCTTGCTCTCATGAATTGAGATTTTCAAAATCCATTTGATATTTTTTCATCATAGTTTTTAACAATAAGTGCAACACTAGCAACTAGTTCATCAGTAATTTCATCATTACTTGCTTCACCCTCATCAGAGTTATTGGAGTCGCTGATGAGGTTCATTTCTTCTTTTTGAGAGAACAAGGCTACATACTTCTGTTTGTTTGAGTCCTTTATGATGTCTTTACGAAGAGTTTTAGTCTCTTCGTAATTTCGAAGATTTCCAAGAAAAGAGTTGAGATCCATGAGATTGATCTTCTCACTATTCTTAAGAACATCAACATGATGTTCCCAGCTTTCTCCATGAAAGTCCAAGAACTTTAACGCCAACTGAGAAGAATGCTTAAGAACTCCATACATGCACATATGATTTACCAAAGAATTAAACCTGTTAAAGGTGAGTTAGAGATTCACCTTGCTGAGCAAGGAAGTTTGCGTTTCTAGTGATGATACTAGTTTAAGACCTATCGTGATGTTCATTTACTTTTGGTTTTGATATTTGTTTTGGGTTGAATTTTACAACTTTGAATTATGATGGGTTTTTGTGAAAGATTTTCAAGTAACACTAGTGGTATGTTCTTAATAAGCCTTCCGCTATATTTTCTGATATAAATTGTTTTTTTAAATAAAAAAATTTAGATGAAAAATCACGATGTTATAGCGAGACCTAAGGAAAAATGGAACCTAAAGCCGACTACCGAGAGATGTATTTTCATTAGCTATCCACAAAAGTCATTTGGATACTTGTTTCACAGACCGGGTGAGAACGTGGTCTTTGTGGATCGAATATGTTTTTTCGGGAGAGAGAGAGAGAGAGCTCATGTTCCAAGAGGATAGTGGGAGTGCAATTGATTTTTAATAAATTCAAGAGTCATCAAATAAGGAAACTTTGATGACGCTAGCTTTCAACCTGAGACTGAATCTATTAATCCCAATTGTAATGTGTTACATACTAGGTGTGAGCCCAATGTATTACATGAGTTTACTTAAAAAAACAATATAAAATTTTAACAATTTGGAAATTTTGAATTTATAATAAAAATGAGATTTTTTTTGAATTATTAAAATTAATGAGGCTTTAATGTATTAAATACATTACATATATAATTATTTTCTAATAAATACCTTACATATATATTACCTTACATATTAAATGTGGAATTTTAATTTAATAAAATGCAAAATACAATAAAATGACAAGTGGAAAATAAAATTTTAAAAATTTTAGAAAATACCATGTATCCAAATAAAAGAGAAGATAACATGTAACAAAAAACATTCATTTATTAGAATAGATTCGTTTCCTTCGATGATATTTTAATCCATTTACGACCATTTATGATTTAACATGGTGTTTTCTCGTGCTTGCTTGAAGTGTGAAGATCGTCTCTCTCTTTTATTTTAATCAATTTCCAAGACAAATAGAAAACCCTATAGCCCTTTGTGTAATCGGCAGTTCATGTTTTCTCCTGTTGGCTCTACTATTCCTTCTTCATACATAAGTTCTATTAGTCGATTCTATTTGCCTTGTATGCTAATCGAAATCGATATTCCATTTACCTTATATACTTGTTGTGACTCCAAGTCATAATGATGTTCTTTTTATATGTTAATATAAATCAAAAAATTTATTATTTTATTATTAGCCGAAATTAATTGTTTTTTATGTCATTCAAAATTAGCCTTATTATGTGTTAGCAATCAAGTTTTATTTGCTGCTAGTTGAATTGAAGCATTTATGCTCTGATTTTATATGCTATAACTTCATGTCAAAATTGCGTTTTTTTATATTAATCGAAATCAGTACTTTTGTTTGTGCAAAATCATTATTTTATTTATTAGTTGAATAAGGTTTTATTTGTTGAATAACGTTTTTTATTGTGTTATTCAGAAATCGGTAATTTTTATGTGTTTGTCTGAAATTTATATTTTTTCTTTTATCTATTAGCTAAATAAAGTTTTATCTGAAATTGGTATTTTATATAGCAATGGTGGATGTGTTCTTGACATGAATGTGTTAATACTTGATTGTTCAAAGGTAATTGTGTTTTTTTTTTCTTCTATGACTGAAAATTTATGTACGATGCTAAGTTATCTTTAGCCTGTCCAACGATATAGTTGACCCAAGGTTGAAAGAAAAAATGAATCTCTAAAGTTGAAAACTAATAAACCGTTATACAACTCACTATTAATATTAAAAAACAAAAATTTGACTACAAACATTACAAAAACAATTAATTTAAAGAAAAATATTTTTCCTAACATTTTTAGATAAATTGATTCTCTCTCTCTCTCTATATATATATATATATATATATATATATATATATATATATATATATATATATATATATATATATATTCTAGGAATTTTGGATTTTTTAGAGATATGGATCCTGGACAACCACCTGGATTGCCTATCGTTTGGACCATGTTTGTAAAGATAAACATAATTAATATTTGATAATAAAAGCATAAATTTGCTGATTTTTTATATCTTTATTCTGAAGAAATTTATCTGCATTTTTATATCTTAAACCTTTATAGACGTTTGAACTTATCTATAAGTGAGTTTTATGGTTGATGACACATTTATATGATTAGGTATGAATAATTTGTGTTATCTCTTGTTGGATAAAAACACGGAACGGCTGTTCGATTTGCCACCTCAATTCGTTGTTGAAACACAAATCTGAATTCAAATTCCAAATTCAAAACAAATCATAAACTCTCCTATCAACTTTCCATAAAAAAATCTCATAAAACAGACCCATCAACATAAAATACATCAATGTTTGATAGTCATAACCGAAATAAATCCAATGTAAATTTAAGTTCAAATATATCCGGAAAGGAAAGGATCACATAAATAACTTGTAAATTGATAGACCATTATGATGCCTAATTTAATGGATTTAGAATCAATTTCTGAATGATTAAATGAATTATATATGGAAAATCAATTAGAGAGTATACAAATGAACATGGACAAAAACATGTTTAGGTGCATATTTGGGCAGAGGCTTAATCCTTCGTAAGTTATTTTATACCGAACCTGGGATTACTAAGTCTTCACGTTCAATTTTTCTTCCCACAAATCCTTATTACTTATAAATTTGTCTTAAAAGTGGATTCGTGTCTATGGCTGGTACGATAAGTAGCATTTTAATGAAATGATTGGTACCTGATTTTACTATTGACAACCATGCTGACATTAAAAAGCGGTGGGGTTCAATTTTGATCGAGCTGTATCAGAAAATAAATCTCTGCCTATTGCCCAGTGTGCTATCTACTTTACTCACATGACGTTTCTCATATATACATCTTGTGGTCCATTTAAATAGTCCAAGATCCGTCTGGCTTTTACTGATTGAGTTTTATTTCTTTCTTATAAACCATAAAACTTTGGGCCAATTATAGTTGGTGGATACATGACAATGGGCTGTATCCTTGTGCCATGAATCACTTGGCCCAACTAGTCGATGAATATTCTCCAATCATCCTTCTGTTTTACCACAAACTACTCTTTGTAGTGATCGATCTCTTTTAATAAACTTCGTCCTGCGGAGCTTTCTCACTTTGGCCCATTATTGATTGTTCTTCATGTTTCTTTCTATTTGATAGGTCTTCCTTTTGATAACCAAGACCATATATATATAATGTTGAATGTAATTGCATGCGTTTATGAGCAGAATTAGTTGCACTCAAATGCGCAAAGAACACAAAATTTTGAAGTGGTAGGGTGCACACGCTAAAACGTACTAATGTGTGAAGATATAAGAAATGTGGGTGAAACGTTAACTAGTGCCACAAATGGGTAGAGATAACATATTTACTTTTGAAGTCAAGACAAGTTAAAACACTATATATACTAGCTAAAAATTATGTGATGTGATCACTTATTAAGCTATATCAAGATTCAAGGGCCGGTTTCTTTATAGGCTGATACTTGTTTAATACCAACCCTGAAATAGGTTAGACGACTACTAATTTCTGTGTGGCTAAATGTCGCACGATTAGCCATTTCCTGTTCATCGGTCGTGACAAGATCATTGGTTTGACTTTGTTTATTTATTTAATTGAAAATGCTAGTGTTTCATCGTATTTGCATGCACTCCTTTTAAACAAGTTATTTAGTGTCACACTACTATTTGATTTTAATTTTTTGTTTAAGAAACATAAGACTAAATGGTCAGCCCCATTGTGCAAAGTGCAGGACACTGTTATTCATGACAACCGTGTTTAAAGCTTTCAATCCAAGTGCATGTATATTCAGATGTTCCTCTATCTTTAATTACAAACTCGATTTCTTTAACTTGAATTAATTTTCTTTAACTTATACAACATGATCTTAGCAGCAATTTAATTAATGGGGCATTCTCTTGTCATCCCTTTGAGGCTTGGGGGTGATATAATTAATTATACTGAATATTTTCTTAATAATTCACCAAAAATCTAAAAGCTTTGACCAGACTTGGAGCTTTATTAGGTTAATTCAATATGCATGATTGTCAGTATTATCAATTCAGATCCATAGTGGATCTCTTTGGTCGGGCACTTTTAGACTATAACAAACCAATATTGCTGATCTAGCAGTGTAGCACTATCTCAAGTATCAAACCTTAAACAAATAAACCGCTAAAAGCAACCAGTCTTTCTTCTATCTTTTGATCCATATAATATATAAGTAGATAAATATATAAATATTGGGATGAGGAAAAAAGAATGCCCCTTGGACAAAGTCAAAATGTACAGTTAGGGGTTAGTTTATTCTTATTGGATCTAAAATGTACAAGTTTAAATCCCTTAGCTGGTCAC